TATTCCCTTCTCGCTGGAAAGCCGCAGTTCTCTCCCCCATCTACAAAGAAGGTAGCAGATTCCTTCCAGTACGCTACCGTTCTATCTTCCTAACTAGCGTCCCTAGCAAAATTCTAGAGCGCATGCTAAAACAGGCCATCTTGAAGCACCACTGCGCAAATAATTTACTCTCTACCTTCCAGCATGGATTTCTGCCAGGCAGATCTTGCATCACTAATATGCTGACTGTCATGGATAGTTTAACAAAGGCTTATAATGAAGGCCAAATCTCGTACGCCGTATACATAGATTTCGCCAAAGCCTTCGACAAGGTCCCACACGTCCCACTCATACACAAGCTGGGGGTGTGCGGTATCATTGATCCTCTTCTATCACTTATTAGCAGCTTTCTCTCTCATCGAACGTTTAGGGTAAGGGTTAACGGTACAGTATCCAAACCGAGTATTATTACAACCGGAGTACCCCAGGGATCTGTTCTCGGCCCTCTTCTCTTCCTTATCTATATTAACGATCTACCCAACGCATTGCCTGCGAACGTAGCTATGTACGCACATGATGTCACTATCTGGAGCACTGATACGCACACGATCCAGGCATCTATTGATGCTATTAAACACTGGTCCGTTGAATGGAATCTGCCTATCAATGTTGACAAGTGTGTAGGAATGACTTTTGGGAACTCTCCTCCTGCTTCGTTTCATATAAGTGGTACGCACCCTGTTCAGCATACCAACCTGCACAAGGTCCTAGGCTTCTGGTTAAATAGTAATCTCCATTTTTCATATCATAAGCAGTTAGCCAGCAAACCTGCTTTCCGTTTTCTTCACCTCTTTCGAAGGTCTTTCCCCCATATCACCAAGAAAGACTCTCCACTTGTTTATGGCACATATTTCCGTCCCCTCCTAGAATATGGTAGTCAAGTTGTTCATTCCGGCCTGATCCGTGATCATGATGCTCTCGAACAAGTTCAAAGAGTGGCAACTAAAGCGGTGGTTGGAATGCAACATCTTCCCCATCCTGAACGTCTAGTGGAGCTTAATCTGTATCCTCTGGAAATCAGGCGAATTAGAGGTGACTTACTTCTTCTACACCACCTGTTCTCCTCGGGCCTAGTTGATAAGTTCTTCACTTTAGCCCCCACGGGTGGAACACAAGGTAATAGCAAAAAGCTATACAGACCTCAACCCCGAACCACAATTCGCACATCCTTCTTTACCTTCAGGGCAATTTCGCAATGGAACGCATTGCCAGTATAGATAGTCTCTTCAACAAGCAAAGCGTCAATCAAGTCTCGACTTGATAAGTATCTAGGTCTAGTTGCCTCCTCCTGATTCCTCCTATGAAAAGCTTTATTTATGTACTCAAAAACAAAAAATCTATTATTTTTCTTTTTATTATTTATTTTACTGTAGCTCTTTTTAGTTAATCGTTGCCTGCCCATTTACTATAGCTCATTGTTACGTTTACTATTAATGATGCTAGAATTGCCTCCGGGGAAGAAGATATATTGCCCCTCCAGTTTTCTCTGATTTTCCAGTTGCATTCTTCCAAGAACAGAAAACAAGAAACCATCAAGGATCCGGAACCATTGGGAGTCAGCCTCGAACCCGAGAGTCACTTCAAGACTTCAAGATGAGACAGGTCTAACCTTGGAAACATTTGGAAAGCAAAGACTGTCGAAGCACCGTGTAGCCCACATTGAGCTCACCTGGTGTAAGAAACTGGACTCCATCTGGCTCTGCCGCAAGTCCTGTCCTGTCATCCTGACGTTGCACTCTTGTTTAAAACATTTTTTAGGACGCGTTATCAAAATAAATACGCGTTACCGCGATGAGATAGGTGGTATTTCAATGGCAATTGTACGATGTAAAGGCTGTGATAAACAATGCAAGGGAGATGTGCTTAAGGTGAAAGAGACATTCTTTCATCCAGACTGTTTCCAGTGCTCAGGTTAGTCGCCCAAAAGCTGTATTATATTTTTTAGCATGTGGTATATGCTTGGCTGAAAACGGATACTACTTTAGAGACAACAATTATTATTGCCGGAAGGATTTCAAGCAAATTTTCTCAAAGTTATGCTACAAATGTGGATCGTACATAACGAGTGACATGGTGTCAGTTTTGGATAAGTATTTTCATCACCAATGTTTCTACTGTCATACGTGTCAGTAAGAACGATGAAATTTTTAAACCTTTAGAACAAATTTCACACCTGGAATGCGTGTAACATATTGGAATGAAAACTTCTATTGTACATCATGCTTTGTACGCCAAAAAAGCTCCGGCTCTACCGTTGATTGCAGCCCGTTGCTAGGTTCGGTGAACAAGGATTCGTTGTGTAAACAAGGTAAGAAACTGTAAAGCATGCGTCTGGGATTCATATAAAATCTAACTTTTGTTTAAGCTTAATGTTTATAGGCATTTAATATGCAACTATGCATAATTTCACGTCCCATTGAATCTCATACTGCATGAGCGTTCCTAGGTGTCCCATAGCAGTCACATGAGCATCCCCTAAGTGACCCCCTTGACCGTCACATGAGCGTCCAGTTTCGACACACTTGGGGGATTCGCGGGTGATGCTCGTAAACAAAATTGTCAGCAATGGTCTATAATTTTTCAATTAACCCACAATTATAGACTCCTCAACCCCGGGACTAAAGTGTCGGTAATAATGATTATCATTCGTGTACTTTAGGTCAAGTCAGGTTGCACAGGACGGTAAAGGCTTTCGCCTATCGAGCGTCCAGATTCTTGCTCCAGTCGGAAACACGTCTTCCGGAGCTTCGACTTCTTGTAGACCGTTTGACCACAGCTGATTTCTTCGTTTCGAACTGTCTCCCTTGGCGCGTCCGTACCTGCAAAGAGAGGTTATTTGAAAAAGGGCAGCATAGACATCTACTGTCAGTAGCAGGAACCCTACAAGATCTCTGGATACAGGCTCGTCCAGACCCCATCTAGCTGCCTTTTGAACTCGTCGACTGTCCTACAGTCTATTAGTGAAAATGGTAGCTGATTCCACTCATCAGTCATTCTACTTGTGAAGAAGTTATACCTAAGGTTAAGTCGGCGAACCTTGATCTAACTGACTATGACATAAGGCTCTTTCTCACCATTGGTTTTATGCTGTGCGTTATACATACCACGCAAGCTATAAATCACGCAACCAGATGTTCGCAAGCTTTGCGTATTCGGCAACTCAATCTCCTATGCCATTGATATCTTCTAACACAAAAGGAAAAGTCTAATATCAGCTAATATGAAAATATTTTTATTGATGTATTTACAAAGTTATGATAATAAACAAATCACTGATTGTTCTTGTGTTCAATAGTTTCCGCGTTTGAAACATCATCTGAAATGGAGGTTAAAAATTCGGATTAACGAAAATTCATATCACAGAGCATTGTTATTTGCTCATGTAACCTCTTACTTGTTGGAAGGTGTTCAGCTGATGTCGAAGAATGACCACATTGCATTCATTTCTGAATCCTCTCTGCGATATACTTTATTTTTTCCATCCCGGAAATTATGTCGCATCACAGCGTCTGTATGGGCAAATGTTAAAAGGAATTCTGTATGTTTACCGATAATAAGACTTGCGGTCTTGCTACCGACGAGGGTGTGTTTGCCATCAACACCCCATCAGTTGATGCTTGGAAGAAGTTCTCCCGAAATAAACATCGTTATATAACAATTCCTTTATACATCATCGTTATTGCCTATATATAGGCAACATATTTGGGTGCTCTAGTCTTTAGCAAGAATTACTTCGACTACGGTCAGTCGTGACGAGCTTCTACACAGACCACGTGACCCTAGTACAACCAAGCTCCAACTGATTAAGCCAGAAGCCTTGTGGTTGTAAGAAACATGTACTAGAGAACTGTGCCACAAGAAATCTACTGGTACACGCTAACAAAAGTTTGCGATAAGTTATGGAGTCAACGAGAACTAGAGATCGTAATAACGTGCGAATCGATCATTAACAAAAAGTGACAGTCACCAGCATGCAGTAGTTATAACTACTGCATCCTTCCACATACTTGCTATAGAAATTTTGTAAAACAAGTATCAGAGTGCTATGGTACTGAAATAAAAATTTTAACATAAAATTAGATAGTAGAGGAAAAGTAATGCCCGGAAAATGTTTTATATTGTCCGCATTTTACCGTACAATTGATTACACTACCAGGCTTCAGTAAAAATCAGAAGACAGTGCACCTGTTCAAGTTCAGTCACAGCTGGATCAAAGGGACGGTCACATGCATGTAGTCAACTCATATTTAGTTGTGCTTCCTAAATCTCTCAAGTTACTCATTCAGACGCCACTTAAAAGCAGTTTCTTCATCACAATTTCTGCATGGGAGCTTCAGAGCATTGCTGACATCCTCAAACGTCCGTAGATCAACGGCAGCTCAACTGACCAACGATTTCTCAACGTGTCAGAGTTCCCCTGTGTCCATTTCCCTAGCCTTAAAATGAAATTCTACTATAAAATTTGGGCCGATAACATCCCCCAGGATATTCTTTAGACAAAGCAGATTCCCAAGCGCCAATATATAACTGGGAATTAGCCGATGGACTAAAGACGGCCTTCGTATCTATTCTCACAACAATTAGTCCAANNNNATTTTACGAACTCCAACTGCTTCAGTTTATCAGACCTAATGAGGGCATATCCCCAAACCACCTTACTCTGGTCCGGGTATGACGTGAGGAAAGTAAAGTAATCTCTGCGAAAGTTCCCATTCTTAGTTGACGAAAAGATCTTCAACTAGGCCTCAGAATAATCCGTACAGTGGCTCAGACTTTGATAAGGTTCTCTCGGGTCTTCATTAATTACCTTACCATAACTCTCAGGTCCTTTTCACATGATATTGTACTCAGTGTGGTTCCTTGGAATTTGTAAAATACTTGCAAACTAGCATTTGCCAAGTGAAAGTAACTTGCACTTAATAGCATTGATCATAATTAGCCAGATTTCCACCCAATGAACCAGGGTGTTTTGACACCCTTGTGACATTCTCCGATACTCAGGACTTTGAATGTTACGCGAGGCATTTGTCATCCGCACACATCGGGGATGGTTACCACAGGTGCCCTGGTAAGTCTGACGTACACCAAAAACAGGAGCGGACAAGGAAAAGAGCCTTGAGGATCTCTTTGGAGAAAGGATATCACGTGGATAGCTACCTGGCAACACGGTTATCGAGTTTTCTACGGACTAAGAAATATAGAATGTAGCTACGATCCGGGACCACGAGTAAATACTGAAGAATTGAATGATGATGACATTGCGGCCTTATCCTCGTCTTTCTCATTAACCATTCCGTTATTAAAGAGAGTTGGGACTCAATTAAGCTTCTAATATGACGTTTAGGAGACGATAGTGCTTTTGGGCTGATACATATTTAAAACCAGCTAGTAGACAGGCATGGTTCCAGCGCTACAACAATAATAACTATAATAATAACATGGGGCCGGTGGGTTGGAATACAGAGCAAATTGTAAAGAGAGTGAAACAGTTATAATGGAAAACGGTAGGTGGCTGCGGCAACAAATTTGTTTGGGGGGTGGCATCATCGTACACTTTTTTACGGGGCATCGGATTTCGACGGGCAGACCGTACAGCTTTCGCGCCACTGACTTTTATTCTGAGCCATATCTCTCAGCGTCTCTAACCAACGACAATCCTAATCCCTTAAACCCAAGCCTGGAAGGCGGGTTGCACCAACCGAAACCAAAGCTGGAGCAAGCTGCATCATACCTCTACACCATTACATGTTTTGACCACCACGGCGCTTCTTCCAGCCTTGCCCGGCAAGTGCGAATAGAGCACGGAAAGGTAGTCGATAGGCAGGCATACGCAATAAGTGACCAAGCAATCGGAGGCAGTGTAAAGCGATAAAATCTGTTAGAGAACAACTATCCACACCCAACACACCTCGTCAATGCTCACCCGATGTTCCCACCAGATACGAGCAATGCTTCGGAGACATCGGTAGTCAAATACAGAAAGTCGATTAGCATCGTCAACGCGGAGACGCTAGGTCGCACAACGGTAAAGTAGAACGCTATGAATCGAGGCGATGTACACTCCTCTGTTAAGGGACAGTCGGATGTCATAGCGGCGCCACAGGTGTCGCAGGTTGGCAAAAGCTGCTCTAGTTTTCGCTATTCGTGATGTGATCTCCTGTCCAACACCAACACCAGCTGCGATCAAGCTCCCGAGGTACTTAAAGCTCTCAAATACTTCCAACTGATTACCACAGAGGGTGAGTGCAGGCACAGACTCCTGCCAGTCTCGAACAATCACTTTGCACTTGGAAGGTGCAAAGCGCATACCATATCTGGATACCTCAATCACCAAGCTGTTCAAACCGTGTTGGACTGTCTGTGTATTATCACCCACAAGGGCAACGTCATCGGCATATCCCAAGTCAAGGACTCTGTTCCCTGGGAGAAGTTTGAATCTGCCGTATGATAGACCGGACAAAGCATTCTGTAGAACATTCTCTGTGATAAAGTTGAAAAGGAATGGGGATATGGGGCAGTTTTGCCGAACTCCACTGGAGCCGGTGAAGGGTGGCCAAAGTTGGCCGTGGGCTTTAGTTCGACCTGAGGTATGACGATGCAACTCTTTGGTTTGGTAAATCAGAGCCATTGCACTCGACATAATTTCAACGGTATACTCACACGGATTGTTATTTTACAATCAGACATTATCTCGAGAATAAATTAAAAGTCACAATCTAACATTTTTGACGCCAAAAGGGGTTTTAAATTTGAATCCCATCTTCCTATTGGAGTCTCATTGGACGTTTTGGAACAATAGTTTTATTCCGTAAAATGAATAGATTACTTTTCAATATAAAAAATGATTGGTTTTGTGTGATTAATACTCCTGGTTTTAGGTTATAGCCAAATTATAGTTATAACTATATTTTTTAATTTCTCAGACTATCACCGTTATGAAACACAAGCGGCGCATTGTCATTCAATACGTCCTCCGGCACCCTCCATCTGGTACCCTTATTCAGAATTAACAGCAAAGGTACAAAGGGTTAGGAACCATGTGAAATTCAGATTCCGGAAATAATCTAAACATCGAATGGCTAAAACTACAATATCATCAAAATATATTGCCGGAATCTTGAGTTATATACCAC